CCCCAAAACCCCAAAACCCCAAAACCCCAAAACCCCAAGAAGATCAAATAAGAGAAATTCGATGAATGATAGGAGTATATAAGCTTGATGAAAAAGTATAATTCACTTAATATATATTAAATCTTTAAGAACAAGAAAGTATCTTTAAGAATGGGAAACGCAGAATTGAAGAGAGCGTATAAGAATGCGCTCAAAGACTCATAGTCGAAAGACAAGCTGGGTCTTACCCCTGAAATTTTGTTAGAGGACAATCTCATCGAATCTGTTGAGACCTTTATCAAAGAGAAAATGGCTGTAGATGCCATTGAAAAAGATAAGGCATTCCCGGAGAACAATAACTAGACGAATGAGAATGCGGAGGACCTTTACAAGAAGCAGTTGATATCTGAACTGAACGAAAACTACATATCTGGTTTTGCCACAGCTGAGAGCAACATTGACGCTCTTAAAGAGCCATGTAAGTATCTTAAAGCAAAAACTATCATAGAATCTTTCACCTAATTACTATTTCTAATTCTGATCTAAACTCTATTCTATAGCATATGAATAATTCTTTACTGTGAATTCACCAGAGAGCATCACTCAATACACCAACCTCCAACAGTAGAAATTCACTATTCTCTATGCACTGTATGTAGAGAAATATAAGGAATAATAAGACAAGGTAAGTTTCAGACAAAATTAAAGTCGAATCATTCCGGCTTCATATTTCACATCTTTCATTTTTATTTGACACTTATTAATTTAACTCGTACCAATAGAAATAAAACTTCTTCGAATACATCCAAAAGTTCCTTGAGAAATCCGATGTTAATCAGAGAGTTCAAGTTGGTCTAGAAAGTGGGTTCAAGTTTTCACTTTCACTTTTGAAGGAGATCAAGTCAATCAACAAAGATATGCTTATTAACTCACTCGAATACCTTTACCAGACCCTAAGATATGCTGAGTAGGGTTCACTTTATAGCACTGACAAACTATCATTCATGATTGACTCAAACTTAAACGATGCTAGATCCTTCCTTGTCTCTATCATTGAAGACTAATCAAGTGCCAAAAGAGCTGTGGAGCTAGCCTTTAAAATTTTACTACTTCTTGGTGTGGTTAGATCAAACGTTGAGGATCTTTTACTGGTAGCTACCCTGCTTGAAAAGCATAACGCTTAAGTCGATCTCAGACAAGAACTTGAACTTCTAAAAGAAGAGTCAACTGGATCTCAAGATGGATCAGACTCTGTCCTTAAGAAGGATTACAAAGAGAGAAAGGTCACAAGAACTGGAACTATCTTTTATCTATAATCTGGCTCATTCAAACAAGAAATCAAGCAAAGAGCTTCATTTGCCAGCGATGGCTAATACATCTATATGCATCAAGAAGGACTTGGACTTCTCAAGATGGGTACCGGAGCTCAAGGCCAAATGATTGCTCAAGTTTATCTACACAAGAATGAATACAAGAGTGGAGAGCAAGTCTCATTGCTTCATCTCAACGGTAAACTCTACTGCAGAGCTGATTCAATCAAACCAAAGCCATTTGTTGTTATAAATACCAATACACTTGAGGAAGAGAAGGATGAGTTCGAACTTGAGAAAGAGGACTAGAATCTCGAATGGAAAGAAAATGAAGAGACTGGCAGATCTTTGACTCATACTCCTTTGATCAGTGATGGAAGATATATCTATGTGATTGCTCAAAAGAAAGCACCAAAGAAGAAGAAGGGTAATTTTATTCGATTCCTAACTATTTATAGAGGATAGCAAAGAAGGTGATGAAGACAATGCAGAATAGGACAAGGACGACAATAAACCACCTATGCTTGTAGTTGAATGCTACGATCCACAAACTCCATCTCTCAAATTTGTGAGAGAAGTTTTCCTATACAAGAACGAAGATTATCAGCCATTTATAAAGAGCTCAAACTCAGTAGACTTCATCAGAGACTCTTCATATACCACCAATGGCCAAGTCATTTTGATACAAACTAACACTCATACATTTGTCTTTGATCTTAAAACTGGCTTCAGAATCTTCAAGGTCAAGTTTACCTCAGAGGATGATCAAAATAAGAAGTTAATCTATGACTTCCAAAATAATGTGTTCTATAGCTTCAAGCACACTCAAGAGAAAACTAAAATCGAAGTACTTCAAATTACTAACTTCAAAAAAGGTGGAGTTAGCTATGGATTTACCAAGGATTTCCTTAGCAATAGATTAAACACATTTAGAAACTCTGTCTTCGGTGAAGGAGAAGAAGTAGATGGCAAGATTGTACCACCAAATAAGTTGAATCTAATTCAAAGAATTATGAAGAATGTTACTACCCCAATCCTAATATAGCACAGTAGAGAACAATCAAACAAGCCATTTAACGGAGAGGAACTCCCAAAACTTATCAGAACCCTAATCCTTAGATACATTGAGAAATCATGTCAATCATTCGACACTCAACTTGATGATATCAAATCTCAAGGAAAGAGTGCAAGTGAAATCGAAGAGCACATGATGAGCTTCTTTAAGTTCCCCAATGCTACTTATCTTACTCATACACTTTTCCAATTAATCTAAGAAAACTTAAACATTTAAACTAACCTCATCAACAGCAAGAAAACTTCTCAAAACTTGGTTGACTAATATGGACTCTACTTTATTCTCAAGATTTTGACTGCTAACTTCCAAGCTCTCAGCTTCTGTTCCATATCCCTTCCAGACATTATGGACGAGGAGACTTACTAGCTTTTCCTATCATCATACAAATCAAGCATAGTTAGAATTATCGAGGATGGCTATAGCTAAGATTTTGAAGAAGGTGAGAATTTCAATGAGATGAAGAGTCTCTGGCAAGAAATTTATCAACTTTGCTTGAATATTCTTTCAACTTCAATCAATCTTATCTATGCAGATAACAAGCAGATTATCTAAACTCTTCTATAGAGTCAAAAGGACATTTCAAATCAAAAGCAAGCTGAGAATAGCAGCATCAGCTTAAACTACCTCTCAGTCCCAGAAAATTCTAAGAAAATTTTAATGGGAGATTCAGAAGAGCTCCAACTTGTTTCATAAGTATTTGACCTTTGCAGCAATATTAAGAGCTAGGACATGGTTGAGGTTATCAAAACCCTAAAGCTCTCAGCAGATCAAATTGTTGCTCATGAATCAAACACCCTTACCAATGCAAGCAATAAATTCATCAAGGGCTTAAGTGAGCAATTAATTGTTCAGTACTGTGCCTTAAGTGAAGTTATTGCTGGAAAGTAACAAGTCTCGTCAGCTTAAACTTCGGAAAGAGATGAGAGAGACAAGAAAAGACTTAAAGATTATGAGTAACTTATTGCATCATTCTTTGAGAGAGCTTGCAATGAGATTATAAATCAAATCAGAACTCTTAACGATAACTTATCTAAGACTCTAGATGGCAAGGCTGATGACTAATGGGAAGGTATCAATGAGCACTTTGAAAAGTTTTCAATATACCTTGAGCAATAATTCCTTCATAACTCTGGATTCTTCCAAATTGTTTCACTCTATATCTAAACATTCTCTGTATTCAAACTTAAGATTGCTCTCTTGCCCTCAATCACACTTTCCGTCAATAATGTGATTACAGAAATCAGCAACTTTAACTAAATTTAAAAGAAATATAAGGAAAAGATCACATTAGATATTGAAAAGGATAAATTGAGAAAGTATTTCGATTCTTTCTCTAGAAATCTCTGCTGGTTTATCGGTATGACTGCCTACAAACTAATAAAAGTAAAAGAAGTAGAGAAAGATTAAGAAAAGAAAGAGAAGGAGTCTCAAAACGAGAAAATGCAAGACTTGATTGTATAATCTAACCTTCTTTCAGGTGGTATTGAGAACAGATTCCTCACTCTATTTTCTCAAGATTCTCAAACTCAATTAAATGAGTTGATTAAGATCTCACACGATCAAAAACTCTAGAGATTACTGAAAGAGCCAGCTACTGTGCAAGAAGATGACAACATTGTTTAATCAATCATTAACAAAGGCAAAAACGAGTCAGTTGATAGATTAATCACTTATCTCTAGCAATTCCTTGAGAGAAAGATCCCAATGGTTGCCTATGCAAGATTAAGTGGAGAGGATGGAATGAGACTCTCTAGAGCTGCCTTTGCTGTTATGATTAAGTTCAGTGAATTCTTCGATGAATTCAATCAACTAGTTGATGAGATTGAAATGCAATGGACTGATCTTGAAGGTGACAGTGAGAGAGATATTAAATTGAAGGAGATGATCAAGGCTACTCCTCATTACGAACAAATTGCCAAGAGATGGGAAAGTTCATCCAAGATGAGACAGTGGATCAGTGAGAAGAAGAAGAATCTTATTGAAAAGATTAAGAAAGAAGTAGAGACTGAGTTCCAAAAGAAGAAGGCTGAGGAAAAGAAAAAGAAGGAGGAAGAGGAATAGAAGCAAAAAGAGAAAAAAGAAAAGGAAGATAAGGAAAAAGAGGAACAAGCTAAGAAAGATGCTGAGAATAAACCAGCTGAAGAAGAAAAGAAGGAGGAAGCTCCAGCAGCCGTTGTCGAGGAAGAAAAGAAAAATGAACCAGAATCAGTACAAATTGATACCTCTACCAAAGCTACACAGTAAACTGAAGCTGCACCAGTAGAAGATGAGAAGGACAAGGAAGATGGTCAAGGGTTTACTGAGGCTGACAGATAAGTCATTGAAGATCAAGCTGATCAAAAATTCAATGTTGAACTATAGAAGATCTATGAGAAGATTATTGAGAAGGCTGAATTCTTGGTTAAACTCTAAGTACCAGGTGTTTACTTAGTCAAAGATCCATCGAAGAAAAAAGAGGGGGCTCTATTACTTATCAAGGATCAATCTGCTATTGAAAAGGAGATGGGAGAATAGATTCCCGTCCCAGAATATGACTGGAAAGATAGACTCAAGTCATGGAGACAAATGCAGACTTCCAAGGGTGCAATAAAATCATTCACAGATAGAAAGAAGGAAATCTTTGATTCATCCGTTATGTCTATTCTAGCTTGCCTTTAGACTCCAATTAATACCCAAAGAATTAAGAAGCAAGTTGAGAGTGTATTCCTTAATGCAGCAAAGAGAGTAGCAGGACTCAAATTATTAGGCTAACTAATTAATCTAGAACTACCTCAAAAGCATAGATATGATTTAATTTCATGGTTTGCATCATCTTTAAGAGGAAACAAGAATCAAATGTCCCACTATTTAGATGACTTGAAAGGATGTGGTCTTCACCTAGAGGATCTAGCTAGAGAAAACTTCTTCACAATCCTGAGAGGGTTAATTAAGCAACTCAAGGAATCCACTGAAGAGTCAGAGATAAAGGTTATTTTGAATGCATTCAGATGGAAATTCATTGCCAGAGATCATGCATCTCTCAGAAATCTAGATATCTTCAGAACTCTTCATGAAGGTAATGGAAAGAAAGATAGCAAGCTTAAGAAAGCATGGGGTAGACCATTAAAGCAAGAAGTAATTGCTAATGAAAATGACAAGAAACTTACAAAGGAAGTTATTGATGTTTTTGAATAAGTATTCCTCATGACTGTTGGTAGAATCATTAAGCCAGATACGGGTGCCCAATTGAAACTTAAACAAAAGGGAACTAGCATTCCAACCTTGGAAAAAGCTTAATCAGTCATTGATGAGAATGTTTCTGAGCATCTTATAGGTTAAGCATTTGAGGTCATTTTCAAGGAGTTTGAGAGATACATTAAAATTATGAAAATGTTCAAAGGTATCGATTGGAACATCTATGTTAAGATGAGAAACAAGGAGAGAAAGAATGGTGATTCCAAGAAGGAGTATGATGAAGAAAACCTTCTTGATGAAGATGATGAGCCTGCAAAGGAAGAGGAGAAGAAAGAGGGTGATGCCCCAGCCTCAGATGCTGCAGCTTAAGAGGAAGAAAAGAAAGAAGAGGTTAAAGCAGGTGAGGAGGAGAAAAAGGAAGGAGAAGAAGAGAAGAAAGAGGGTGAAGAAGAGAAAAAAGAAGGAGAAGACGAAGAGAACAAAGAAGAAGAAGATCTCGAGGAAAAAGAAAAATAAGAAGCTATCAAGAAATAAGAAGAAAGAGCTGAGAGAGAAATGAAGTCAATATATAAGCTCTATAGTGAATCTTTCTTGAAGAGACTTCTTAGATTAGTCGAAATTTTCACATCAATCGCAACAATTAGTCCTTATCCACTCTCAATGGTACAAAGAGTAGCTAATCCATACTAACTAGAGACACTCTTGAATTTACTCATTTTATCATCACCAAGAATCAAGATAGTTGTCCTAAAAGTTATCTAAAACTTGATCAAAATTGCTATTCCTTTCGAAGTTTTTGAGGAGACTATTAAAATTATCACTTAAGACCCTAAATCTTAGGCCTACGAAATTCTAAACAAGGTCATCCCAAGTGTTAAATTCGAAGACTCATTGTTCCTTAAATTCCTGTACAATTATTTGCTCAGCATCCGACACAAAATGTGGACTAAATCCGGTATTGAGTGTAAGTTTATAATTTTTATCTTAAATAATTCTGTGTAGCTGAGGGACAATATGCTGTAACATAGGAGATATCAGGAATCTTTAGATCTCTTATTTGTTTAGATTAATAGACCCCTAGGCTGAAGAGCTATACCTAAGCTAAAGTTACATTTGTTTTAAATAACCTTGATAACTTGCACTTAGAAGAGATTGATCTTTGGCTAGGATTCCTTCCAGGATGTGGATTTTATGGATTAAGAGCTGGATAATAGGTTGTTCAGTCTAATGGCCAAGTATTAACATTGTTAGGATTTTCTAAGAATTATCCATCAAATGGCCAATTAGATAATTCTTCTAAAGATTAACTAAAAGATTTAAAGCTGACAATGAAATTTGTAGAGAGAAGCAAATGCGTTTGCTTATTCCAGTCAAACGATGTAAAATAAATCTTAGTGCTTGATCCCAAAGATATAATGCCTAAAACTATTAATAATGAGCTCAAATTGCTAGATGGCAAGGAAATTTAAGAAGCTATATTCTTCTAATTAAACAAGTAGAGAACTTAACAATTCCATCAACTACCATATTAAGATAGGATCAAATTTGAAACTATTCAAAATCAGTTAATGAAGTTTATCAGAGGATAGGTCTAGTTAAGAGGAGATGAATATCTGCAAGTCTTGAAGGCAAACGGACTCTTGGAGAAATTCCTAATTTAGATTATTAGAGAATCTGGAAAACCAGTAAATTTTGAAAAATAAAACCAGATGCCTATTCAATACTTAGATATGAAATGCTTCTAATTAAGATTGAAGGCTCTTGAAACAAACGAATATCTTGATGTAAGATCTGGCGTTACAGGTATCTTATATGATGGAACCTATATTGCTTTTAAGGGATTATTTAGGGAACCAGAAGACTCGATAAGTTTCCCAATTGCAGGAAGTATAAATGTAGAATCAGCAATCAAGGATTCAGTAGTTAATGTGGAATTCGGGAAAAACATTATTGATTCTACCAATACTTTACAAGAAATGGTGATTATTGAAGATGAACTTTTGTAGAATGAAACTGAAAAGGCCCTTGTACTTATTCAAAATTCATATATTGCTGTTGTGTCAGATAATCAAGATCTATTCCACCTCTTTAAGATGATGAGAAGAGCTTCAATCCAAGAGCCAAAGAGATTTGATGGACTTGCTGAGAGAGTTATTGTATAACTAGAGAAGCAAGATTTTGATTAGATTATGAAACCAGACACTGTAAAGTTCTCTAAAAGACCTAAGTTTGGATCATCCAAAACCACACTAGATATTTTATGCAATTTATTGGAGACTTGGGGAAATTGCTCTCAAGAGACTATTGAGTATCTCCAAGAAACTGGACTTACAGATCCTTAAGAGATTCATGATAAACTATCTAAAATGTTTGGTTCAGACTCTGTTGCTAAATATATCAATGAAAATCCAAACAAAATACAATAAGAAGAAGGTGGTCCAAATCAAGATAGCTTATCTATGCAAAGCAACATTAATGATTCATTCGCTATTGATAGCAATAATGGCAGTTTTAATTTCTAAAGTGATAGCACGTAGAAAGCTCTTGATGTAACTTTAAATAAGCAGAAATGGGAAAAGATGAAGGAAATGATTCAACAGTACATCATTCCAAAATCTGATGTGGAAAGAAAGTAACAGATTTTAGATAACAACAATTATCTTCAGACTGTTATTGATGACACCAAGTACGTCTAAGGAGAAAATCTTTTAAGAACTTACTAATCTAGCATCTTCACTTAAAATATTCTGATGTATAGAGAACTGTTCTTGGACATTTTGAACCACAGTGATTTTGAAAATCTGCTTGGAGACCTTCTCAAATAAAAGGAGAACTAAAAGGACTTTTCAAACTTCTTAAAGATCTCCTTGAATGAATCACTTAAAATTAAGAACTCTAAAAATAAGGAAATTAGAAAGCTTATTCAGAAAGTATTGGACAAACTCATTAAGCTTGCGTAGGTTGATTAAGTATATTAAGAGTATCTAAAGGAACTATACTTTGACGATCTTCTTTAGCAAGGCATCAAAAGCATCTTTGCTAATAAAGCTAACTCTGAAGAAAATTTGATTACAAACCTAACATTAACTAAAGAAAATCTAGCAGTCTAATACCCTTCTCCTAAATTATTCTACTATCTTACAAGATTGCTATCAAAAGATTACAACTCATTCTTATTGAATGGTCCTACTCCAGTTTCAGATGTCATTACCTTGCTAAGTTCATTTGCTACTTTGATTTCAATAGCAACAACTAAAGATACAAACAGCTTTTTCTCTCTTGTTTTGGAACTTACATATATAATATCTAGAGAAGGAAGCAGCTCAAACAATTAGAAAAATATCAGAAATCTTGTTGGTAATAAGCTAATCTTATATATGGCTGAAAACATTTAAAAAGTTTCAAGCGAAAAGTAACTTTCAAATTCCCAGAAGATCATTCTTGAAATTTATCTGATTATAAACTAACTTAAGAAAAAGTATGAGAAGATTTTAAGCTAATCTGACAACAAAATGAATTAGAGCAAATATCTCTACTAAATAAGTAAAACTGATAAAATTGTTTAAGAAGCAAGTCAGGGATCATTGGAATTGCTCAAATACTAAGAATTCCTAAAGCAGTGCTCAGAGTATGTTGATCTTCTTACTTCTGAACTATCGACAGCTTAGCCGTAAGTTTAAACAAAATAATTTTCTTTTTAGAATGTTTGAAGCACCTATTAAGAGTTATTATAAGTAGAATGATTGTGATGGATTACATATCACTGTAAGAGCTTCTACTAAAATACCTTAGTGTAAGATAAATAATCTATCTATAAATCAATATATTAGTCAGCACATTAGCTATTACATCAGATCCTGAAGGCAAAAATATCCTCAAATAATTTAATTGGACTTAGCTGATCGAGGATCAAAAGTTAAGAATCTTCAGAAATGATTTTTATGTCCATTATCCAATAATACAGGGCTCATTAGTTGGCTTTGGGGATTAAGGCAATTACAGACTAGGAAATAAGATAAATAGCTCAACAACTATACCTATTGAAATTGATCTCCAGCATTTAGGAACTATCTAGATTAAGCAAGTAGTTTCTAGAAAGAAATTCTGCTTGGTAATATTTATTATTCAATATATATAACTCATTAGATCTTTGATATGGATGATAATGTATATCTTGGAGGTCATTTGAAAGGAGTCGAATAGCAACCGTAATTCAAAAAGCTCCCATACCCTTCAGATTTCCAATTGGATTCTTATTCCGTTGGAAAGCATAACGCTATATTTAAGTCAAAGAAGGGAAAATTCTTCTTCATTGGAATGAGTAAGCATGGACACTTCGATGAAGCTGATAAGAAGGAAGTTGGCAAATTAACAGAGATGACTCATAATAACAATCTTATTATAGAAAATAAGATAATTCAGTTCGTGTGTGGCTCACATTTCAGTCTCTATGTTAGCGATGAAGGTAAACTTTATGGTAGAGGTGATCAATTCTTGTCAATACTCGGATTAGAGAGCAAGAAGCAAGCATAATAGATACTCTTGCATGAGAGATATTCCGTCAAGAAAGTTCACTGCTCTCAAGGTAACTCTAAAATTCTTGCTGTTGCAATCATCGAAGTTTATGATTAAGAAGATAAGATTAGGAAATATTTATCTGCTGGTAAGAATCAATTTGGTCTTCTAGGTTAAGGGGCAGGTGTAACAACTTCTGAAACTTTCTAAGAATTGTCTATGCATTTCAACATCCTTTCATTTACTCAATTAGAACTCTACTCAAAGCATGCTTTTGCCATTTCAAAGGATGGTTAGCTTTACGTATGGGGATCAAATGAAAATGGACTTCTTGGGTTAGAGCAATACAACGAGATCATTTATTCTCCAACACAGAACACATACTTCAAAAACTATAATGTTCTCAACATTTCTTGTGGCAAGGACCACTCTTTGGTAGTTGCTCATGTTAAAAAGAAGGTAGATCAGTAGTTATTGTTCGCTATTGGCAATATGGAAGATAAAGCTAAGTATCAACACTTAGGAATTGATGAGGCTGAATCTAAGAAAAATGGCCATATCTGGCAACTTAAGCAGTTCAATAACTACAACATTAATATGATTGCAACTGGCTAGCAGTCATCCTTTGTCATGATTTAACCCAAGAAAGAACATTCTGAGAAGTTAAAGCACAAGATTAATGACTAATAATCAGAAGAAGGACTGCTTCACTTCTACTATGACAGCAGAGATAACTTAGTAATGGTACCTCCATCCCAATATCAATACCTAAAGGAAACCTTACCAGATATTAGCTTTGCAATTAAATACCCTATAAAAGATCTAGCTAGCAAGCCACAGCCAATTGATGTGAGCCTACTTCAAGCCTTCCTAACTGGTTCCCGAGATGTTCCCTTCCATGAAGGAATCAAATGTTCTAACAACGGAGAAGAGATAATCGGAGCAAGGTATTACTCTAAATGCAGATTTTCAGAAAGCGAAATAAACATGGCTTACAACTTCAGTGAGAGTGGATTTTTCAGAGTTAAAGAGTGTGATGTCAATCCTTAGATATTCGTCAGATTTGCTAGACCCATCAATTCTGACTTTGACATTCCTCCTATTGATTTGAATTAATTCTATGAGAGAACCGATAGTTTTCAGATATGCTTGCATGTAAGACCTGATCTGAAGTCACAAGTGAACAATTTACTCATTCAATATAACTAAGGAGGCTATGAGTAGCACACTAAATTGCTTGAATAGTTTGACAAGCCTACAATTGATCTCGTTAAAGAATACATAGGATAGTAAGTGCTCACAGATGACAGCTTAAAGCCAGTGTTTGATAAATTAGAAGAAATCAGAGTAAAGTTTAATGAATAAGATGATAAATCTGATGAGGAACTTCAAAAACTAATCAATATTCAATTTAAGCCTTTGTTGAGTATCAATCATAAGAGTTTTGAAAAGTTGCAAGCCATTTTAGAGAAGTAAAGTAAGCACTACTAAAAGTTTATGTCGACTTCTCTAATAATTAAGAATGGATTAACATTAGTGCCAAAGATAGGAAGACAGAGATATCTAGATCTAATTAAAAATGACATGATGACTCATGTAAAGAGAAAGATTATCAATACTATGATTTCCAAGTTAAAGTCGACTGAAGAGGGAGCTGCCAAGATTATGAGAAGAAAAGCCTTCTATTTCATGAATTCAGGTTAGGTCGATCACGAAGGTAAATTTACCATTTTCGGTCAGATATTCCAACAGTCACTCAAAGATAACCATGAGTTCTTTAAGAAGAACAACGTAGACACTAAAGTGTTCAGTGTTACATTTGCAGGAGAGGGTTCTCAAGATGCTGGTGGGCCATTCAGAGACTGTATAACAAACATGTGTCTTGAGCTGTAGTCTGCAAGTTTACCTCTGCTTATTAAAACTCCTAATCATAAAAACAACCACGGCTAATACAGAGAGTGCTGGATACCCAATCCTTCTTCCAAGAGTCCAAACCACTTTGAGATGTTCAAGTTCCTAGGAGTAATGCTAGGATGGGCTTTAAGAACTACTTCTTCATTACAATTGGATTTACCTCCTATATTCTGGAAGAAAATTGCAGGAATAGAATTAAATGAGTTTGATTTGAAACTTATAGATACTTTTTCATGGCAAGTCATTGAGGACTTCAGAAATCATAAGAAGACTTTGACTCCAGAGGATTTCGAATTCGCTATTGACTAAAAGTTCGTTACTCTCCTATCAGATGGCTCAGAAGTTGAATTATGCTTTAAGGGAAGTGAGAGATAGGTTAAATTTGAAGACATTGATGAATTCATAGATCTGCTTGTAAAGGCTAGACTCACTGAATTCGATGAATAGATGAAATACATCAAGCAAGGAATAGAATTGATCATTCCAGAACACATTATATTCTTTATGACATGGTAAGAGCTCGATCTAAGATCAACTGGAGCCAAGACAGTGGACACTGCTACTTTCAAGAAGATCACAACATTAGATGTAAGATACCTTTGCCTAATTTAAATAGGGATTTTCCGATGATTCTTAAGAAGTAAAGTGGTTCTGGGAAATTTTCGAAGGATTAACAGAGGCTGAGAAATCTCTCTATCTTAAATTCGTATGGGGCAGATCTAGACTCCCAGTTAATCTCGATAAGTTGTCAAGAAAGCATTGTCTTGAGTTCTACAAAAGAAGAGCACAAGATTCTTTACCCATATCTCATACATGGTAAGAAAATTAACTTTGATCTAATTAACTTCTTCTTTAGTTTCTTCAGAATTGATTTCCCCACATACTCGAGCATGGAGATTATGAAGTAAAGATTGCTTTACGCTATCTAATTCTGTGGTGATATTGATGCTGACAGAGGATAGCATGATATCGCTCCAGAAGAGTGATTATGAGGCTAGTAGAGGATATTTCTAAGAAATTGATTCAAGATTATAATCCAACGAAAGTAAATATCTGTTGCTTTTGAAATGGATTAATTATTATTCAAACCTGAACTTAATTATTCAAACTGATTCACCATATTTCTACCGTATTTAGTATCTTGGGGTTTTGGGGTTTTGGGG